CTGGCCATGTGAACCACTCGATATGTTAGCTAGGATGACTTTCATGATTATCGTTCTATGTAGGAGGCAATAGAATGAAGTTGGAAAACCACATGCCCAGACAGGCTTCTTGTTCTATCAACACAGAACCACAAAGTGCAGATGGGCTCTCTATATAGTCTGGCAACTCCACTTCATCTTCCTAGCATGCTGGCTTTCCTGCTCTCCCATACATCATTTCATGCCTTCACCTCCTTCTCTTCTGTTGTGCTGGGAGAATGAAGGTTATTAGGCATGCCCTCTGTCACTGGGCCCTCATCTAGTAATTGCACCTGGACCTGGACTCTTCTCCACCTTCTCCACTTTCTCTGATGCATCGGAAGGAGTCCAAAGAACAGCCCTCTTCTGCCTGGGTTCTCAGTCCTGCTCTATGGCTTTCCAGGGACTTGCCTACACAGTAACCCCTCTTCTCGCTGTTCCTTTGGTTCTTCCCCAAGGTGAAGCCCAATGATCCTTACCCTTCAAGTATTTAGGCCCTTGTGAAATCTCTGCCTTTCAGAGCAAGTAGAATTTGCAAACTTGTTTCTAACCAAGAGAGCACAGCAAAGACAAAGGAGTCCACTCCTGCCAATGGGAGATAACCCCTCCCCAACATAGCCACCTAAGATTCTCCTTGCTTGCTTGCTGAAGCAAGAGGCCATGCTAAAGAGGTCTGCGTGACAAAGAACTGAAGGAAGTAGGGACCCGGGAAGGAAAGCTCCAGGAGCCAAGGAGTCCTTAGGCACAGCCAAGAAGAAGCTGGGTCCCTTAGTCTTACAGATATGTGGGAATGAAGTCCACCCAGCCCAGCTAACCTGTAAGTGAATTCTTCCTTGGCCAAACGACCAGATGAGATCTCAACCCACCTAAACCATTGACTGCAGCTTTGTGAGACAGCATCAGACCCACTTTAGGCTGAAACTAGACTTCTGAAGTCCTAGAAAATGTGGCAGTCTTTGCCCAGCACGGTAGCACAGGCCTTTAGTTCTAGCACTTAGGAGGCAGAGGCAGGAAGATCGCTGCCAGTTCAAGGCCAGTTTACATAGTGAGTTCCAGGTTAGCTTGGGCTACAGAGACCCTGTCTAAAAAGGTGGCAATCTCTACAATCTCTCTCTCTCAGAAGGCTAAATAAATAAATAAATAAATGTATGGTAATTTGTTGCCCAGCAGAGGAAACTAACACATCTGTCCCTTTTCAGATAATGCTTCATGCTCTCATCACTATTCTAGAGCCATTGCCTCATTTGTAGACATGAACTAGACTACAGGGCCTTCTAGGTAGACCCTTTTCTCTCCTTATCAACAAAACTTGCTAAAGAGTTTCCCATACGTGCCTCTACAGCCTTCACAGCTCAGCCACTCGACTTACAACACAACTGTCAAGAATAACACTAAGTCCCTCTTACCTAACCCAAATGAACAAATGTCTTCTTACACATTCTGGACTTCTCCAACCCTGTTCATTTCCCCACTTTCTAGAACCATTTCTTTTCTTGGTTTCTGAACATCACATTTTCTACTTATCTGATGCTGTTTGTCAACTATACCTACCAGCTTCTCCTTCTAGGATCCACCAGAACTAGTGCTACCTCCCCAAAACCAGCCCACTGCACTCGAGACAGGCAGGCAGGCACGCATGCACGCGCACACACACACACAGTATCTGGGCTTTAAGTGACATCAACATGCAGGCAACTCTTAGCTTTCCCCTTTCTGGCACAGACATCCCCCTTGGATACACATCCCAGAGCTGTCAGTCTACCTGCAACCTCCACTTACAAGTCTACCCATCATCTCATTCTTAATATGTTCAAACAGAGCACATGAGTTCTGCTGGTTCCTTAATCCAGCAAATGGCACATTTAACCATCGTTATGTCAGGAGCTCATTCTGAATTCCTCCTTTCCTTCTCTCCTCACCCAATCCATCAAAAGTTCTGGCAGGTTGATCTTCACAAAGGATCCGGAGTCTGTCCCCTGTGCTAACCCCACTCTTGCTGCCAGCCCATTATCTGATACCAAGTAGCCCTCACATCTTCAAGGACTGTGATGGCTGCAGCACCTCACTGGTCTCCCAGCTTCCACTGCTGGACTCTATTCTCCCTGTGTGAGCTTTGAAAAATACCAACCACCTGGCAAGCTTTTCCTGCTGAAAACCTTCTAAGGATTTCACACTCTACCGTGAGAAGGCCTGCTTTTCTGTTACTGGCACTGCTGCCTCTGAGACATCTCTTTCCTACCAAGTTCCAGCTACAGCTAGCTTCTGCTTTCCCCCTCAAGAGCTGCAACTGCTACTTCCTGGTCTCGGGTCTTAGGAAGGCATATCCCTGTGCAAAGTGTCTCAACTTGCAGATTAAATGTCCTCTCCTAACAGGGTGTCCCCCACCAGCTTTCTTTTTTCCTCCTAGACTCTAAAATGTTACCATTCCCTTCCCAGTGCCACTTCTGCCCTGTCTTTTCTATTTTCTCTATCCCCCACTGATCTCTCTTGCTTCCATTTCCTGAGCCCTGACCCAAACACCCCACACCTTAAGAATGCCTGATTTACACCATGATAGTTACTGAAAAAAAAAAAGCTACTTTACCCAGCAGAGCTGGGCTGACTTGAAAAGACTTGGCCACCATCTTGACCACTGGCTGCCCACCACTCTCAGGACCCTCTCACTGCAGCACATCTCCAGAGTAAATTTCTCATCAACTAGCACCATGACAGTTTCCAATTTCCTTGACAATCTCCTAAACGGGATAAACAAGTTCAAGTAGGCAGAGAAAGTCAGAATTCTTGGAGGTATTTTCCTGGAAGTCATAAGTAAGACCAGCTGAGATGACTCAGTGGGTTAAAGCCATTTGCCACATAAGCCAGGCACTCACGGAAAGGGGGACGGAGGGGAACTGGCTCCACACAAAGTTGTCCTCTGACTTCCATGGCACACACACACATTTTTTTTAAAAAAAAGGAAAGTCATAAATATTTGCTCACTGATAATCTACTGGACTCTCCCCATCCTACGGAAGAATGTAACCTCTCTTCTGTCATTTGCTAGGAGAGGAGAGGAGGGATAATGAGAGCTTGGCTGCCAGTTCTTGCTCTTTACTGGCTGCTGAATAAAGTCCTATCTCCTATCTCTTTGCTCTAACCACCTTGGGTGGGGTCACTGGTTCTGCTCAGGAGGGTTTAAGGACTGAGATTTGGCTCAGTGAAACCTGAGTAACAATCAGACACATTTAATGATTGCTATGATGGGATTCACTACGTGCAGGTATGAAATCATTCTCGGTTGTGTTCTAGAATACCACCTGACACAAAGTAGGTTCTCAATAAATATTTGTCAAATAAACGAACACATGAATATCCATACATGTAAATTTATTATAGTCCATTTAAAAATGTCTTTGAATCCAATATCAGGGTGTCTCTAAAACGGTGAAAAAGGAAGCTAAATTATACCACAGCATATTCAACATGTAACTTTTTGAGAAGGTGTAAACAATGTGCTATAAAAGTTGTGAGCAAAGCAATGTGTTAGAAATTTTAAAGAATTTAAATTTATTTGAAGCTGTGAAAAATATTTTCTGATAATGCAAACTCTCACACTCTAGTTATTCCAACTTTACAGAGCTGATTACTACATGGGGTTTGCTTTGATCACTGGGCATAAATTATGATTAATTTTTCTATCACAATTTGCATAATCACTGTTTAAACCACCAGACACATTTTCAGTGTGTCTGAACAAAACTGCCAAGGAGTCACAGTCATTTGGTGACACCGACGCCATGAGTCTTAATTCAAACCCAGCTATGTCCTGTAGTCACACAATGCACACAATGCACGCTTTTCAGCAGGTCGTGGTAACCCTAGTGCAGGCACAGCCCGGATTCCAACAAGCAGCTGTCAAAAACAATCATCCCAAATGGCCATTTGCTGCATCTTCTCACTCGGGGAGCGGGTAGTGCTTTCAGGGTGGTCTCTTCTAACTTCTGTTTAACTGGGCTGTGTAAGCACAACTTCAAGCTTCCAACAGCTTTTGAGAAGGGGCACCAAAAGACTTTAAAAATTAAAAGTCTCTATTTAGCTCATTTGTTTATATTTTTTTCTGAAAACTCCTAGAAATGTTGGTTAATTTGCTTACTTTAAGAACCATTGGAGAAAAATCACTCTCCATCGCTTGCCACTTGCTGCCCTCAAAACTTCTTAGCAACATACACGGTGCATGAATCTCAACGCGGTTTGCTTGTCCAATCGCGTGCCTGAAAGCCCAGCCAGTCAGTTTTGTAATAATAAACCCTTTATCTCCTGAAGATACACTGCTGGGTGCTTTAGCGCAAAGGGGACTTGGCTAGAATTCTCAGCGGAAACTCACATCCATTTTAAATGCCATCCCCCACCTTCCTTGCTTTCGTCTTTCCCCATTTGTAATCTTAAGGGGGGGGCGAACGCTTAGAATGAATGTCCAGTTTAAACGCGGGAGGGTTAGGAAACGCGGAAAAATAAGAAAGCTAGCAAAACGCACGCGGAAAACCAAAGGCTTGGTTTTTGCTGCACTGGACTCACGGTTCCCTCCCAAGAGCGGGCGACGGAAACCGATCAACAACTGTTCTCAGGTGAAAGAGGTGCTGCAGGTGGAGCAGAAAAGCTGCACGCTAGTTTCCACCCTCAGCGTAACAACCAGGGAGCACTCCCGCGTCCCTGGGGCCGAATAAAATGTCACTGCCGGTCCCCAGCAGGCGCAACCGGCGCCCACCGCGTCCCACGTCCAAGTTCCCCACCCAGCTCTGGGGAAGCGTCCTTTCCACTCGCAGCCGGGACCGCAAACATACCCGGCCTCCAACAGCGCCAGGCCGGGGAGCCTCCGAGCCGCAGTTCCGCGAGCGTCCCGGGCGGCCGGACACACCCCTCCCGGCCGGCGTTCTCCCGCGCGGCCTCCCTGGGTCCCGGGTGCGGAGCCCACTGTGCCCCGTCCCTCCGCACCCAGCACGCACCTTCACAGCGCCCCGGGCCGGGCCCTTGGGGAGCGCACGGCCGGGTCCGAGGGGCACGAAACGCTCCTCGCCATCCTCGTCGTCGTCATCGCCGTCCACCACCTCGACGACCACCTCCTCGTCCTCGTCGTCCTCGTCGTCCTCTTCCTCCGCGCCCCCTCGGGGCTTCTCCGCCACCCGCCCGCGCGCCCTCCGCCGCCGGCCCGCTCCCTCCTCGTCCTCGTCCTCCTCGCCCAGCAGCAGCAGAACCGGCGACGAGGCGGCGGCGGAGCGAGGCGGGCAGGCTCCGCGCGGCGGCGGTAGCGGTGGCCTCCAGCTACCCGGAGCGGCGGTCGCGACGGGGCCCGGGCCGGGGGGCGGGAGCCCGAGC